TGTGTGTGTGTGTGTGTGTGTATGTATATATGTATATGTATATATATGTATATGTATATATAAATTCACATATGCATATATGACTTGAAAGTAGAAGTAAAACTGTCCAGGGAAAACAAAGGGTGCAAATGAGAGCGTGTGAGGCAGATACGAAGGGTAGAGAGTATGGAGTAATATTCTCAAAGTATATTAAATACATTAATATGCAATTGAGCTCATGAAAACCCAACCCCGTGTACAATGAATATATGTCAGTTAAAATATCCTAATTAGTTGAAAATGCAAGTTTAAGTTTATAATATACAAAAGCAATGATGTAGGAGATCAATGTTTTATCTCCTATGCAGCTTTACACTTTTTTAAGACTTTCCCATCCACACAAATCTACTTCAAGCAGCATCTCCTTTGAGGCCCCATTTGCCCTTGTAAACTTCCACAAACCATTGTATACTCACCTCTCCTGGACAGCCGTCCTGAGGCTGGGCTAGGCTCTACTGTGTGCTTCCACAGACTCCTGTTTTAGATGATACTTGCCGTACTCACAGGCTTTGGTCTCCTTCACTAGATTGGACACTTCTTAATCCCAGATACATATCATGCTGTGCCATCTTTCATACTAGAATGACCAATAGTCCATTTTAAGTGATTAATATGTATCTGTTTGGGTGAAAACTATTGAATATCCATTAGGAATATATTTTTTGTGAATCAAGTTTCAGGCTACCTTTGAAGTCAGAATTTTTAAGTATGTAATCAGCTTTAGGCAAGTCTAGTCTTCCTGTGATTAGGTGTCTTACCTATAAAACGATGATGATAAGAACTGTAGCTACAGCCGGGTGGTGGTGGCACACGCCTTTAATCCCAGCGCTCGGGAGGCAGAAGCAGGCATATCTCTGTGAGGCTTTCCCCTGGCGGAGGTGGGAATGGGGGGTGGGCTGGGGGGAAGGGGAGGGGGGCGGGAGGGAGGAGAACAAAGGAATCCGTGGCTGATATGTAGAACTGAATTGTATTGTAAAATAAAATTAAATTAAATTTAAAAAAAGAAAAATCTATTTCCATAAATAAGATAATAAAAAACAAAATCAATGATATCTTGGATGGTTCTAGGTGCATAATTCTCTGCTTTTACATAATTTAGCTTACTCATCATTTGCTTAGATATGATGGCTTCCAAATATGTTTTATGTCTTTTTGTATCTTTTCTTTTTACTTATATAAAAAATTTTTTTCTAGCATGAAAAAAAAAGAAATGATGTAGTGGAAAGAATATATTAGTAAATCTGGCATGCATTATTAAAGAAATTTTATACTTATAAAAAAAAAGGTAAAATTTCTCTACAGCAATACCACCCACCCTCTTACCACTCTCTCTTCTCTTAGAGAAAAAGCATCAAAACTGAGGGAGTTTGCTGCCTGACAGATGCCAAGTGGTCTGGGTGTTTGGTGTGAACCATTTCCATTTGTTGTCTAGAAAAGCCTGAAGGAAATATAAATCTCTCGTTGGGGAGGGAGATCATAGCCAAATGATAAGTGTAATAAAGTTCTTTCTTAAGGAAGAGCAAATCCCCTGTTATCTGAATGGTCTAAGCAAACAATAAGATTTTGAGTAGTGTTGGTTGATGACATTTTTTTTTAATTACTACTGTGTTCTTCAGGACTTCAAATGCTATCATGCTTTTCCCTGGGTCTATTTGAAGTAGCTAGATATTCCAAATTTTACAGAAATGTGTTCCTCTATCAAGACAAATCAAAAATTATTTTATTAATTTCTGTTTAGATCATTAGCATTTGCTAATAAGTCAGACACTATTCTTTTTTTCCTTTATTTTATTTTACATACCAACTACAGTTTCCTCTCCCTCCTCTCCTCCTGTTCCCTCCCCCCACCTCCTTTCCACACCCCCATCCACTCCTCCTCCCTTTCTATTCAGATGGGGTAAGGTCTCCCTTGGGAATCCACAAAGCATGGCATATCAAGTTGATGTAGGACCAAGCTCCTCCCACCCTGCATCAAGGCTGAACAAGGCATCCCACCATAGGGAATAGGTTCCAAAGAGCCAGCTCATGCATCAGGGACATGTCCTGGTCCCACTGCTAGACACCCCACAAAAGACCAAGCTACACAACTGTCACCCAGATGCAGAAGGCCTAGCTCAGTCCAGGACTTACCCTAGGTGCATGAAATTGCTTTTTGGAACACATTCTCTAGGGTGAGAATCCTTGCTCAGCCTTGACATGAGGGTGGGGGTGAGGGGCTTGGTCCTGCCCCAACTTAATATGCCGGACTTTGTTGACTCCTCAAGGGGGAGGCTTTACCCTCTCTGAGGAGTGAATGGGGAATGGAATTGGGGAGATGGGAGGGTGTGGAAAGAGGGGAGGGAGGGGAACTGGGATTGGTACGTAAAATGAAAAAAGAAACTATTTTTAAATAAATAAATTTAAGAAAACAGAAAAAAAGTAATAAGTAGATGCAATAGTAGAGATGTGCATAAGACTCAGAAATGTTCAGAAATGATGACTCAGTTAAACATTACGGTTTATAGACTACAAAATAATTTTTTAAACTTACTAAGCATACTATTTAGAGCCCAAATAAAAACACTGAAGTCAAATTAACATGTATAATGACAAAGGGTAACATGATAAGCAGTATTCATGTTTGCTTCATGGTATAAAATTTGAGAGGAAAACATTCTATCATGAAAATTAAAACCACTATCTGAGGAATAGCAGAGAAGACATCTGAAAGTCACAAGAAATTAAATACAGGTCCTAATTCTGCTGCAGAGTAATGATGTGAATCTAAGCAAGTCTTCCTACCTCTCTTTTTATGATGTAAGGAATCGTGATGATAGTAACCACCATACTGTGAAATTTTAAGCAGTAAACAAAAAAAGTATAAGGACCAAGCACATAGAAAATATTCAATAAAAGCAACCTTTTTCTCCTAACATGACCTCAACTTGTCACTATTTTATTCTATGCACATATAATCACATAACTGTGGCAAATTTACTCTCATGCTCCCAGGGCACAACTTCAAAATTGTTCTTTGAAGTCATTCTGCCCTATTTTTTATAATTACTTCCAGAAGCTATTCACAGTAGTTTTGATTGATTTAAAGCATTTTTATCCATTTGTGTTTTACTAAAAGATGTAACAAAATGACTTAATCTCAAGCCTACTTGGTACCAGAAGTAGTTTGGAAAAAGAAAAGAAAAGAAAAAGATGAGAAAAAAACCATATTCAGTAATGTAACATAAAATGGAGAGTAAAACATTAATATCCATGAGGATTAAAGTATTCTAGAACTGGGAGAGAGATCTGTAAGTAAAGTACCTGATGTTCAAGCATGTGGACCCGAATTGGGATCCCCAGCACTCATCTATGAAGCTGAGTGTGACAGCACATACCCATAATCCCAGCTCTGGGACAGAAGAGAAACCTGGGTCCCAGGGGCTCAGGGGCCAAAACAGCAAGCTCCAGGTTCAGTGAGAGAGATCCCACCTCAAAATCATAAGGTGAATATTGATAGAAGAAGACAGCTGAAGTCATCTCTGGCATCCTCACACCCATACACAGGAGATTACATGCACACACATAAAGCACTGTGGTCACAAAAATGTTGACGTGCTCACAAGAAATTCTGTAATACTGAAAAAGTTGAAACTTGGCCATTAAGAGGATTCTGAAGAGATGTTAATGTTTCCTTTTTAAAAATTGCATCTGACATCAATTCAGACTATTTTAGAGTCATGTCAAATGTGTCAATTTAAGAAGAAATTAAAATGAGATGTCAGTGTTTAAAAAAATAACATAGAATATATGTAGATGGTCCTGCAACAGATTTCTTAATGTAGTGATATTAAGTTTTATATTTTGATTGTTGGTGGGGAGGTGAATTTGATTGAAGTCTGTGTTAAATACATTTGATACTCAGTTTTCTTGCTTTTAAATTTGTATAAAAAAAAATTCTCCCCAATAGATGGTATAAGAGCAAAGGTTCAAATGACTACCTTTGACCTGTTCTTCAAAAGCTAATCTACATAAATTCAGAATTGGTTTTATTCCACCTCCAGGAAATTCCTCATGGGAGGGGCTGGCAGGTAATACATTAAGCAAGTAAATGGCCTACGTGGCCTTTAAGTGGAGTCTTACCACCAGGCTGTCATCTCCTGGTCATTCTTAACTCTTTATGCAGATTCCTTTCTCTAGACCAGGACAGGAAGTGAGAGTTTAAAATAAATTAAGTGAATTAAAATTAACCCAGATCAAAATTTCAATCCCTCAGTCCTGCTAGCTGCACAGTGACTGCACACAACTGGTCACCACCATGTCCTACAGACGGAGCCCCTCACGCACCAGAGAACCACCTGTTGGGTACTCGGACTGAATGCCCCTATGTTCATAGGACTCGGTGCTCGCCGTTGTTGGCTTTTCATGATTTGGACTCCCTTAGGGCTCATGGGAAAACAACTTCATTGCCAAGTCAGTGTCAGACTAAAGGAAAATCCGACGTCAATGAGGAGAACCGAAATAAACAACCAAGAGAGAATAATGGGTTTTAAAAATACACCGGTTATTGTAAGGAGGATGAAAAATGATTCGAGAAACAATCCTGTTTGTCACATACAGTTTGCACTGAATGTATCCATATCATGCTGCATTTCTGATGTTGGCATCGGGGTTTCAGAGAGTCCAGCAAAGCAACACAGAAGCTGTGCTCTTGAGACTGTGATGAAACTTAACTACATGGACTCCAGCAGTGCGTGTGTACTGCACATTTTCTTTGCAAAAGGGGCGGCAGATGCTACTGAGTTACCAGCATTCCCTGCTCAGAACTTAGATATTTACCCTTGCTCAGGCCGTGCTTGTCCTCTTGAGTCGCTTTTATGCTTAATAGTATTTTGGTTTTTACTGCTTACATGTAAAGATGCTATTGTTTAGCATAGATCTTGTCACCAAAAGTAAGAGCATGATCTGCATGTGTTTGCGTTTAGGTAATTTTGTCCATTGAAGAAGGTTACAGACTTCCTGCTCCGATGGGCTGCCCACCATCCCTGCACCAGCTGATGCTCCATTGCTGGCAGAAAGAAAGAAACCACAGGCCAAAATTTACTGACATCGTCAGCTTCCTTGACAAACTGATCCGCAATCCCAGTGCCCTTCACACACTGGTGGAGGACATCCTTGTGTAAGATGCATAATGTTGGTATTGTTTTCCCCTGACAATCATAATCTCTTTCAGGCTACAGGCAAGAACAACAGGTAGAGGGAATTAGTTTGCCTTGGTCACTCATTGTCTAATTGCCAACCCTGTATAAACCTTATTTTATTTATCAGCTGAACAGATAAATGACGAATATGAAAAAATGTGGGGATTTTTCACAAGAAAAAAATTTTCCCCTTCTTTTCTCTCTGCTATCTATTCTATCTGCTTTACTTTATTTCCATTTCTCTTTTGTGGATCTTTGATATTTATGTCTTTACTGATCCTTCTTTACCTTTATAAGTAGAATTTGTGTGCATGTGTGTGTCCCCTCTAATTTTCTTTCCATTCTATGTTCCATCCCTCTGTTTGAAATCCCAAGCAAGATGGGGGTGGGGGGTGGGGGTCAGGGTGGGTTAATTTGTGAGTCACTGTCACCGGAAGTGAGGGTGCTCCCTTCTGGTCTGATCACACCTCACTCTTGCTACTTTCCTCTCCCCAAACCAGAATAGGGTGGGTCAAGGCACTCATACACCATTTTGTAACCTTCAGTAGAACCAAGAAAATCTACTCACTTCTCTCTGAAGAACAACGATTAGGAGGAGAAGCAAAAATATTCCTCATCTCTGTCTGAAATATTACACTTCAAATATCATCAGTGTCTTCTTTTAGACTAGATTATAAATAGCCAAAGCACACCTTCCTGAATCACAAGATGGCCACAGGATATGCAGACATTCACTGTGGGGCACAGGTCCCAGTCAGTATAGGGTTTTAGTAACAATAAGACTAGGCTCTGTAAGGGACATTTGAAACAGACCTCTTTTCACTGCCGATCATGTAAGAGTTCACCTCTAAATCACTAATTGGCAGTCTCAGCAAAATGAAGCCAAGCATGGAATAGCTAGTGATCCAACTATTGCTGCAGACTGCCTCCTCTGAGCAGTCCAACATCGGAAGCCGTGAGCAAAAGGCATAGAAAAGAAAAGCACTTTGGATTTTATTACTATGGCCATGGACAGCCATTGAAGGATGTTTAAGCAAGAGAATAATGTGATTACAGTTGCACTTCTAGAAGACCACTCGAGTGTTGATTTAGGCTATGAATGCAAGGCAAGGAACAAGATGGGAAACAGAGCCACATGTGTCTTTTCAGAAATCCAAGCTATAAAAGTTCAAGGCCTAAGATGTCCCCAACTAAGACTCCTAGCAATGGTGGAGAGGGTGCCTGAACTAGCCTTCCCCTGCACTGAGATTGGTATTTACCCTAATTGTCATCATAGAACCTATATCCAGTGACTGATGAAAGCAGATGCAGAGACCCACAGCCAAGCACTGGGTGGAGCTCCTGGAGTACAGTTGAAGAGAGTTAGGAGGTATTATAGGAGCAAAGGGGGTCAAGATCATGATGGGAAAAACCACAGAGACAGCTGACTCAAGCTAATAGGAGCTCACGGACTCTGAACTGACTGACAGCTGGGGAACCTGCATGGGACAGAATGTGGGTGACAGTTGTATGGCTTGATCTGTTTGTGGAGACCCTAGCAATGGGACCAGAACCTATCCCAGGCTCATGAACTGACTTTTTTAGGGCCCATTCCCTATTGTGGGATGCCTTACTCAGCCTTGATGAAGGGAAAGGGTCTTAGTCTTGTCCCAACTTCGTATGTCAGCCAGTGTTGACTACCCAAGGGAAGCCTTACCCTCTGTGAAGAGTGAAGGCAGGGTGAGATGGGGGGAGGTGGGCAAGATGGGAGAAGGGAAAGGAGGGGGACCAATGGTTGTTATGTAAAATAATTAATAATAATAAGAAGAAGAGTTAAGAAAAAAGTTCAAGGCCTAAATTATAAAATGAGAATAAAGTTGAGATCAGGAGGAAAGAGAATGAATTTATTGTCTGGCAACATACACAAACAATATTTATGTGTTGTGGTCACTGAATAGATATGGAAAGAAGAAAGAAGTGGATATTTCTCATTTTTTTTGTACAAACAGTGGGTGTAATACATGCTAAGAGAAGAACAGGAACAAGTTCTGGAGAATAAATTAGATGATTTGGGGCATTCTGAGTCATAGATGCCTGTGGGATAGTCAAGTGGAAATTCCATAGGTGCATAACTTCTAGATTGAATTTGAGGTAAAATATCTGGGCTATGGAACTAGAGAGATAGCTCAGCAGTTAAGAGTGTACTATTCTTGAGTCAGTTTCCAACTGACTACACAGGGCTGCTCAAAACTCCCTATAGCTTGAGCTCCAGGATATACGACCCCCTTCTGGCTTCCATGGGTTCCTACACTCATGTATACATACCCACATGTAGACACTTGTCATAGCATAATTACTTTTTGTTCCAAAGATATAGGTTAAAGGTGTACATTTGAAATTGACCAGCACATAGATTATTACTGAAGGCATTAACATACTTAGATAACCTATGAAGAAAATAAAGAATGCAAATAAACAGAGAAAAATAAGGCAATTATCTAAAACACCAAGATTCAAGACATGATTCCCCCACACACACACACCAAAAATAAATAAATAAATAAATAAATAAATAAATAAATAAATAACCAAAGGAGATTGAGAAAGAAGAGCCAGACTGGTAATGCAGGAAACATGGATGGAGCCACATCATAAAAGCCGAAAGAGAAGGCTGTGTCAAAGAAATGTAACACACAAGTCTTCACAAAGATTCAGAAAACACCAAGTGGAGTATTAACTGGATTTAGCAGTGGGATGCACAGGTTCATGAGCAGCCTCAAAAGGACAAATTTTTATAAAATTTATGAGACAATAAAGAGGGGGTACAAAGTCAAAATAAAAATCAATGCATAATAATAACTTTTATTTCCATAAACCTATAGGCAAGATAAATAGAGAAAATGTTTCTTGATTTTTGTTTTCATATTTTCTTGAAAATACAGTGTTCATGCTTTACTACTGAGAGAACATCATAATGGAAACATATTACAAAATAAGTCTACATTCATGGAAGAGGAAATCACATCATACCTCTAAAGCCAAATCATTTCCTCTGGGCTTCCTGTAACACAGGGTTAACAGACTTAATGGTGGCTATAGCAAAGCTATCTAACTATGAAAATGGCTATAGTCATCATTTTTAATTGATTGCATTTTGAGACTGTGAATAATCATCTTATTTATTAAATAAGAAGAATCTCAAATCAGAAAATGACCCCCCCAAAATGGAAAAAGAATACATAGGTCAAGGCAGATGCAGGGTTCTGATTGATGTCCACAGATCCATGATGAAGTGACTGCCATGCTCTAAGAGCCCGGCCACACACAGACCAGAAGTTGCATCCTTCATCTAAATTGTCAGCTTGGTTCAATTCCAAAACCTAATCTCTCTGAAACAAATGGAAATTTTTGTGAGTGATTTTTCTATCCTTGTTCATGACAGAGGCATATGAACTTTTTGTTTTAATATATTTGTGTTTGAGAAACAAAATGAACCAGAGTTCCCAGGGTATCAGGCCTGAAACTCATCTTTATTCTTATTATCATGAGGGCCAGGACTGGATTTCCCTGTCTTCCCACTCATGCCATAGTCCCACTGCCATCCACACACTCTGTTTCTAGTCCCAGAGAATTGAGACACTTTAGTGTAATGAGATGGCCTGGTGGGTTTTGTGTTCACAAAATGATGACAAGCACCTCCACATGAGAAGTCTCTCCATCCCCCAAGTTCCAAGAACACATGCCTGTCTCAGATTAATGCTGGATTAAGGAAACATGACCATCAATCTTTGTGACAGAATGCCTCTTTAAACATGCCAGCTGGGGAGATGGCTTGGTGCCTAAGAGTGCTTGCTCTGCAAACATGGGCATTAATCTGAGTTTGAATTGCCACCACCCACATTACAAAAAAACAGCTGAGCATGATTGTATGTGCCTATATCCCCAGTATTAGAGATAGAGATAGTAGAAACTCAAGAGCTTGCTGGCCAGCCAGCCAGCCAAACCAAAATAGCAAGCTTCCAATTCAGTGAGAAATCCTGTCTTAAGGCTGCAGGGCAGAAAATAAAAGATTTAATGTCCTTCTCTAGCTTCTTCATAACCACATGCATGTAATACACACATGCATACACACACACACACACACACACACACACACACACACACACACACACAAACGCTAAAGAGCCTGAGTGGATAATGAGCAGCCACTCATCATTAGACTCTCCTTTACTCCAGTATCCCCAAACTCCAGGTTTTTCTCATTTCTACACCAACACAGGCATTGTTCTTTCATCAACACTCCCACGGTTTTTATTCCACCCTAATTGCCTTTGTCTCAAGAATTCACCTGAGCCAGGGCGGTGGCGGTGCACGCCTTTAATCCCAGCACTTGGGAGGTAGAAGCAGTCAGATCTCTGTGAGTTCAAGGCCAGCCTGGGCTACAGAGTGAGTGCCAGGAAAGGCACAAAGGTACACAGAGAAACCCTGTCTCAAAAACAAAACAAAACAAAAAACACAACAACAACAAAAAAGAATTCACCTGAGAAACTTTTAATCTTTCTGTTGACAAGATAATAAGTGGGGAGAAAATACAATGATCAAAGAGACTATAGAAGGCTATGAACCCCACAGTTTAATAGTTTTCTGCTAGCAAATTAGCAATTTCATAAATCACATTGGTAGCCTTTCCTTGCAAACACCTGAGTATCTATAGGAAAGATGTTGATCTATGGCTTTCAGGACTAGGAAGAGCAGTGCTCACTCTTGTCTTCTACTGACATTCCTCTGCCCAATACTTCCCCAGGGGCATATTTTCATTTCTGTATAGCTCCCAATACACTATTTTAAAAAGTGTATGGACATATATGAGATCATGGTGATTTATATAAGAATGTCCTTAAATCCAACCAACTGCTAAATAGATTTTCAAAATTACCATCTTGATGGAGCCAGGCAACCTTCCATAAATGCAATGTACCCTCATTAATCACTTTATAAT